TTCTCACCTACATCGTCCACAAGGGACGACTCGGGAACTCAACTCCTACCTCGGGCAGCTCACCTATCCCCCTATGCCCAGGGGAAAGGTATCAAGCCGTTTGACAGCTGATGCAGGCTGTCAAAACGGCTTTTACGCAGAAGCAGGCGGGAGCAGCAAACAGCTGCGTCCAGCGAAGTCGCCTGCCACCGGAAGTCCATTAATAATCCTTAACTGAAACAGTTAAATGGGTATACTTTGCTGAAATAAGTGTACTTTTGATGTAATAGTTTCTTTTACACAATATGTACCTTTTCTTCTTTAAGAAGAGGTAGGGGACTACCTATCCTTATTCCATCCTAAATCCCCCATCCACTTCCCCCTCTCCCCCTCCATACCCGTATTGTTCCTATTTTTTCCTTATTATATAAACTTAATAAAATATTTTTTTAAAAAAAGAAGAGGTAGGGGACGTGCTTGTGCAAAAAATAATAATAATCACAAATTCAGTCCTTTCAATTTCAATTCCTTCTTTCTCCTGAGCTACTGAGGATTTGCTGATTTCTTCCATATCTTTTTATCTTCTACTTCTTTTTATGCCTTTGAGTCAGTGTTGACTCTTGCCAACTGCCTGGAAAAGACCTGCAGTTTTCTTGGTAAGATTTCAGAAGTGGTTTGCCATTGCCTCTTTCCTAGGGCTGAGAGAGAGGGACTGGCCCGAGGTCCGCTAGCTGGCTTTGTGCCTAAGGCAGGATTAGAACTCCTAGTTGCCCAGTTTCTAGTCTGATGTTTTAACCTCTACACCAAACTTTCTCTCTCCATGTGCAGCAAGATTCCCAAATTCATGAGACTGATGGACTCATTTATTTTTTTTTATTTTTTTTTCATTTTCATTTTTCCAATTTACAAAACATTAAACATTTTTTTAACAATACTGTGTCGTGTATCTCTTACAGTTATTTACATTTATTACTATACATTTTTGTTTCTCTGTTCTAACCAATTATACCACTTATCCCACACCTCATAAAATTCTGTTTCTTCCTTGCCTTTCATTTCTAGTGTAAGCTTATACATCTCGGCACATTCTAATATCTTATGAATAATCATATCATTAGCTGGTATATTTTCAAGTTCTGATGGACTCATTTAGACGGAATAGTTGCCATAGGGTCTGACCAGCCATAAAGCCATCTGAGTCAATGCATATTGTGAGGAAAAAGAAGAGACAGATGGAACAGGATGCCAATTATAGAGAAAAGTCATACTCACAGCAACATCAATCCTGTGTGCAAAGAAATGCTTCATGGTGTTGCCTCTATTTGCATCTAGCTAAAATGGACAGCACTAATCTGGATTGCTGAAGAGACACAGCATAGGAGACAGGTGGTTGGGAGAACCAAGTGCTTCATACAGAACAGACTCAGGCAGCAGGTCCTTCTTTCATTTCCCTTTGACCACATGATGGTATCTAAAGCAGGAGACTACAGTGGTGTCTAAAGCTGGAGACTACTGCCTAACACAATAGCTCTAGATGGGTCATTATCATCTGTTATAACTAACGATGCAACCCTCTTTCAGGAGTCATTGTGGCTACGATCACTACTATTCCTGAAATGGCTGTAACCATATCCAGTACAGTAATTAAGTCCGACGAGGATACCTAATAGAGAATCTTCTCGTCCCCAAGCCCTCCATTAAAAATACGTATATCAAAATAAATTGTATACAAGGATATGGATCAGGAACTCTACTTAGAACTGCGCAGGAGCTGCATATGTCTCGTGATCTGTAGTTTGCCCAGCCTTGGAGAGAGCTGGCACTTGTTGCTGTTCCATAAATATGTGTTAGCAATAACTAAAGTAGGCATGGAATGTACAGCTGGGTTTCTGTTACAAGTGCTCTTGGCAGTGACTTGGCTGGAAAGTCACAGAATTACAGGAAGCGCACTGACACATTTCTGCATGCAACCGGGCTTCTAGGTTAATAATCATGACCGACAGCAAGCGACAAAAAGTAACCTGAGATTTGCAAAAAAAAAAAAAAAATTGCTTCATTTTTTTTTAATAATTGTTTTTTGTTGTTGTCATTGTTTCCTCCAGGCGACTGAATAACAATGAACTGACAGCCATTCCATCCCTGGGAGCAGCTTCAGCCCACATAACTTCCTTGTTCCTGTAAGTCTCAGCATTAGCATTCCTACGAGTATATTTTTAATTTGAAGAATCTGTGCAAGGTATACTGTGTGTTTCTTATTTTAGCTTTAATACATTCAGTGATATCTGACCAGCTGGAGCTTAGTAAATGTTGAAGTTCCAGTTAAAGACCTCTACTGTTCTCACCTGTAAAGTACTTAAAGAGAAAAGTGAAGTCTTCCATGTCTTCTTTTTTCTGCAAAAGTGCCTTGGAATACAAAAATCTAAAATACATTAGTAAAGTCTAACCTGAAAGAGAGAAACACTGGTACGTTGTGGTACCTGAAAGAGAGAGAGAATGAAGGCGATCCGTTATAGGTCTCAGGACTCAATAGAGTTTATAGGTTTGCAGAACTCAGTTGAAAATTTATTTATTTTTTCAATCATTTATATAATTCCCCATCTTCAGATGTGCAAGATTTGGTTAAAATGTCATTAAAAGTGCAGTCCACACATTCCTAAACGATATGTTTCTGGATTGGCTTGATTAAATTCTAAATCCAGCAACCCTGAAAACTATATTTGAATAAAATTTTCCCTGCTAAGTATCAAATTAAGGATGGCAAGAATACAGGTAGTCTTTGACTTACAATCATTTATTTAGCAACCATTTGAAGTTATAACAGCACTGGGAAAAGTGACTTATGATTGGTTCTCGCACTTACAGCTGTCACAGCACCTCTGCAGTTACGTGATCAATTTCAGTCAGGATGCATTTATGATGGTTGCAGTGTCCTGGGGTCAGGTGATCGTCGCCTGATAGCCTTCCTAGCTGGCTTCTGACAAGCAAAGTCAATGGGGGAAGCGGAATTTGCTTAATAGCAATAGCACTTAGACTTATGTATCGCTTCACAGGGCTTTACAGCCCTCTCTAAGCGGTTTGCAGAGTCAGCGTATTGTCCCCAACAATCTGGGTCCTCATTTTATCGACCTGAGAAGGATGGAAAGCTGAGTCAACCTTGAGCCGGTGAGATTTGAACTGCTGAACTGCTGCTGGCAGCCAGGAATCAGCAGTAGCAGCCTGCAGGACTGCCTTCCAACCACTGCATCACCAGGGCTTAAGGACCACGTGATTCACTTAGCAATTGCAGTGATTCGCTTAATAACTATGGCAAAAAAAGGTCATAAAATTGGGTGCAATTCACTTAATTCTCTTGCTTAGTAATGGAAATTCTGGTCCCAACTGAGGCCATAAGTCAAGGACTATCTGCATATACAATGAATAATTTTTAAAAGAGAAAGACTGTTAATAAAAACATTGCATTAAGGTTGCTTCTCAGCATAGTTGCTGTTGTACTAACTCAAAGCTGAGCAATCAGAGATTCTAAAGCCACGGGTAGTTTGGTCCTGGTTCTGGTGGTCTTCAAAGGTACTCTAGCCACAGCCATCAATGGAAGCATTGTTTCTTACAATAAGCCAAAAATAGGTTTAAAACCAATGTCCAGAAATTTGCCCTCCCCAAACTGGGGGAATAAATTGGAAAGTCCTGGTTCACCCATAAAATATAAACTGGAACATTTTGGAAGACAGTATCGTGAATTGGAAAGGAGATCTTCTAGTCCATCCCTTGCTCAAGGCAAGAGACCTTATACCATCCTGGTCAAATGGTTGCCTGGTCTATTTTTGAAAACCTCCTGTGATGGAGCACCACAACTGATTTTATCAACTTTATTATTCCTACTTGATCATTGTTCTGTAAGGGGGCACTTTTTGAGTTTTCTATATTATTTACTTAACTCTCTCCCCTTACAGCCCAATTCATGTAGGCTATGTATGAAAGCAAAATAAATAGGCTGTTTTCTTGCATTTCCATTAAGATTGCTCTAAAATGTGGAAAGGAATAGAGCTTCCTCTTTCAGGTCAACACTGACAGCTGCGTCAGTCCACCCCCCCATCCCGAAAAGTCCTATTTCAAAGAAAACGAAGTCAAATCTCAGGACTAGAAGATTTGGGGGGGGGGGGCGTTTCACTGTTCCTCTCTATTCACTTATCAAAGAGAGTTTCTCCTTCTGTTATAGTTGGGGCAAAGTTAAAATAATACTTCATTTATCTTCCATTCATATTTGCCTTGTTTCTATTAGTTATGATCCTATGAGTATGGAGATTTATATTTGCATGTTGTGCTATGGTGAGTTTGAATCCTATCCATAAAGAGCTCGTTTTCCAACCTGGTGGGAAATTAAAAGAGGACTCCGCTTTTATATTCCCAGATTTTGTAAGTTGATTAGTTTTTTAAAAAATTTCATTTATTTATTCAATTGATATGGCTGCTCCTTGCAAACGCATTTACATCTTGCTTTCTGCTAGTAAAAACAGCCAACATGATTTATGGTAAAAATCAAAGCATTGAGTGAAATTATATCAATTACTGCTGCTGTCACTACTAGCCACAACGCTCAATTGACAATTTACAAATAACAGTATCAAAGTAGCATAACGTTAATCAATCTGAAACTATCAAATCTCCCTTCCCCCCCCCCCCAAAAAAATCCCCCTATTCTAAGAGGCAAAAATCATAATAATGAAAGCAAGAAAATAGGTTTTTAAGCCTCTTCCGAAGCCATGCACCCAGGGGATGGTATGCATTTCAAAGGACGGAGAGTTCCATCCACTTGGTTCAGTCACTCAGAATGCCTTAGCCTAGTCCAGGGGTCTTCAACCTTGACAACTTTAAAACTTGTGGACTTCAGCTTCCAGAATTCCTCAGCCAGCTACTGGCTGAGGAATTCTGGAAGTTGAAGTCCACAAGTCTTAAAGTTGTCAAGGTTGAAGACTCCTGGCCTAGTTCATTCTAACTGACCTCCTAGGTCAGGGGTAGGCAACCTTGGCTCTTTTATGACTTGTGGACTTCAATAACCAGAATTTCTGAACCAGTCATGCTGACTCAGGAATTCTGGGAGTTGTAGTCCACAACTCATAAAAGAGCCACGGTTGCCTACCCCCTATCCTAGGTTAACACCTGCAATAAAATCCTTCAAAGGCCACTGGAGCTTGTGGTAACATTTTTACAATTGTGGTATGACCAGCTTGAATCACAATCTGTCCTGGAATTGCAGTTGCTTACTTACTGCCTGTGGTGTGCTTAGATTTGCTATGTAGACACTTTCTAAATGCAACTGGTTGTTTCTTAGTTGTTGT